TAAGCTGTATGGGAGTGGTCCCGATAGTCGCTGCCAGTCTGCACCGAGTCGTCGTAAAGCGAGATGGTGGTGGTGGTGATTCATGCACAACTTCCTTTGCTTTTTCGGACTCTTTCTATACAAGTACCAAAAATCAATAACATTAATATACATCAACCTATCAAAAAATAATAAGTACTATCGTTCAATGCATAAATCAACTCTGTGCAGTTGTTGGGATGGGTCTTGTTAATGAAACTGGCCATAAGATAAAATGGCCAGGTGCACTGTCCCATCTGTTTGAACCTCGTCGGTGGGAATAGGGATTGGGGCAGCGGCATCCGGACATCTACAACCACCACTCTTATCATATCATCTCCAATACTCCGGTGGTGGATGGTTGACCCCAATGCATACATTTTCCCTAAGGTAAACAAAGGATAAAATATTTTAGACTATATAATGCTTAACAACGTACCAAATACATGTCAAAGATATAATACGTACCGTATGCCACCAAATGCTCGGGAGGACCCGCAACATACAATTGACGGTCAGCGGTGTCGGTAGGAGCAACTTCGTGCCCCTCTATCGGGAGCATCACAACTCTCCTTTGTGCTGACATGAATCGGGGATGCCTCTCATGCGGGGACGGAAGGTTGAGAGGACAAAGATGCCAACTCGCTCGCATTGAGCTCAATAACTCGCCTTCAAGTCGAGTACACCTCATCTCGTATCTCCTTCCTAATTTGTTGTTTGAGGGACTCAAACTCTTGCTCATTCAGCTGCCTCAAAGAAGGAGTTGCCACGGGTGGGGCACCAAAGTACTTGTCGATGCCCACCCCTCGTCCGAGCACCACGAACACGTCCAGGATGCTCTGGGGTACCAATGGCCACTTGCCAATATATCCCGACGGCCATGTGGGTGGAATGATCCCCGAGTGCTCTGCTCAACCAACTCATCCTACAACACAAACGAATGATTTTTTAGCAAATACAAATGCCTATTGTAGTATAACATATATAATTAGTTTAGGATATGCTACTTACAATACGTTGAGCAACAACATTAGTTTGCTCGGATAAGTAATTCCACGATGAGTTCCGGCGAGCTCTCTTCCATTTATCATGGCGTGAAGGGCGAGTGACAGGCACTCACAACCGACTCATCCGAAAGATGACTTGAAGATGTCTCCTTCATCATCTTCTCCTCCAATTTCTCATAACCCCCACGAGACAACTCGTGGGGGTGGATATTCTTTCTCCGAATATCTTGTGCCTTCTGCAGCTTGGCTCGTTGCATTCCATGTTAAATACCGGATTTAAAACCTCTATTTAAAAAAAATGACCGCAAACAAATGACAAATGTGCTAACCCGAAACTTAGCGTCTAAACGCTGAGTCCGAAATGCCTGCCATGTCTCCTCATCCAAAAGCCGATACTGGTCACATGGGTTCTTGTTGCTCAATGCCCCATATATGTATCGACCGGTCAGATCACTCTTAAAACCTCTCCAAGCGTTCCCCGAGCATATGAGATCCACTTTCTCCCGAACAAAGTGGTGTTAGGGACATCATATGTGACCTACACAATAAAAATAACATGAAGTTCCCAAAAAGTTAAATATATATAAACATGTTAAATGCCAAATAAGAGTAGGTACCAGGATACTCGCCAAATCCGGTTCTTCGGTGTCTCCGGAACATGGTCCCAATCCTCAATAAGAATACTAACCTTGCTTCTCCCAAGCAAGGCCACATAGCTAGTGAATCTAGCACTCGTGCTCTCCAATGGCTCTACCGGCTTGCATGTCAAGCTGGATAGGCAATTTCGATCGGAGCTACGATCGATATTCAACTCCTTCAACCGTGTACCACGCCTACCCTTTTTCCTGGTAGACGGCTGACTCGATCACCACCTTCGTAGGAGGGGGGACTGTGTAGGAGGAGGGGAACCGGATGAATCTGCCATATCTCGTGTTCAAAGAAAAAAATAATAGTTATTAGTTTAGACAATATGATCGAAGATAAACAAAAAAGTGCATACATTAAAAAATAATACATTAAAAAAATTTCATACATTATCAAGTTGGAACATTCTCCCAAAATTCTTCCATATGGTCATAACGTATGGCATGCACATCATCTATTTCTACATTAACACTAAAGTTTGGCATATTTGAAGAGAAACATGGTGTCTCGGGTATATCAAGTACTAAATCATCATTCTCATCGAAGTATACATGGGTTTTCAAAATCAAATTAGCTACGTAAACACGAAATAACTACATTATAATGCCTACACGAAATCCAACTCCACTCTCAAAATAACTACATTATAATACAAATCTAATTTTCAAAATCAAAATCACGAAACACATTCAAATGCCTACGAAACACATTCAAATGACTAAACTACTTACAATACATCTCTAAATTAGCTAAAGGGACCCGTGATGTTTCCCTCTCTTGACAGCATTATTACTTACTAGATTCAATACTGTAAACATACAATGGCTAAAGCAAGCACGAAAACTTACCTCTTGAAGACCTACAGAGGTGGTAGGTGGCGTGACGTGCAGAGCTGGGTGGGGAGAAACGTATCCCAGGCGACGGGCACCAGTAGCAGCAGGCGGCACGAAGCGTTGGCAGGTGGCATGACGAGCAAATGTGGGTGCGGAGAAACGTACACAGGCGAACGGGGAGCTCTGCTATGGGTGAACTGATGAAAAGAAATGGAGCGTAGGGAGAAACGTACAGGGGAGCTCTGCTATGGGGGAAGTGATGAAATGAAATGGAGGGAAGGAGAAGGTTAAAACAGAAGATACTATGTCGGTTGCTCTAACACCCGTCATCAAAGACACTTTCTATGTCGGTTAAATGTTACCCGACATAGAAAGTTTACTTTCTATGTCGGGTAAATCTTAACCGACGTAGAAAGTAAAGTGACCTTTCCACTTACTATGTCGGTTAAAACTTACCCGACATAGAAAGTTTATGATTTTATTACATACATGCCACCGCGCCACATACTATGACGGGTGGACTACGACCGTGATAAAAAGCCGTCATAGAAAGCTATTTTCCACTAGTGAGCGAGGGTTTTTTCTTTTTTTCTTTTTTTTTTATTTAGCATCCGTAGGTAAATGAGTAGGTAAAGTAGTAAAAAAACATTACCTACCTCCTACATCCGTAGGTAATGCATAATCATCCCATCCGTAGGTAAATTCCGTATATAATAGATAATTTATGTACGAATATACTTTTGTAGGTAAAATCCGTAGGTAATGTAAAATTTACCTACTTGATTTTTACCCGTAGGTATTATTCCGTAAGTAATAGGCTTTTTTCTTGTAGTGTTATTATTATTTTATTAATAAAATGAAATTTTAATTGATAAGGAAAATTTGTGCTTAGAAAAAAGATAATGTCTATTTATAGGTAGAAGGTGAGGCATTTAATTGTCCTTTATTACAAAAGGTTTAAAGGTTTGCATGATTAACAAAAGCAGAGAGTTGTTTATATATAGAATAATTTCATATTTGGTGACTAAGTTTTTGCGTGCACACATGCATGTTTAGTAGAGAACTTATAAGGTAAACAAATTGTTGAGTTGGGAAAATATATACGAGTAAGTAATATCCTTTTATGTTGAATGATGTTATTGCATACCAATTTATAATATCGATTTTATAATTTTAAATTTTATATATTTGTTTTTTACATAATTGCAATGGTAAATAAATATTATTCTTAACTTAAATAGATCAGATATTATTTTTTTAATTGATTTATTTTTCAAAGAAGTTATAAAAGAAATGCAACTAAATTATGTCGATTTGAATTGTATCTCAATCTATCACTCACATAGAGCTAATGTAGCATGGGATAAAACAAAATAAATATTAAAATAACAATTTAAAAATATTAAAAAATTTCTCTTGAGATGAAAGGTGTGATAAAAATTACATAAAAATTACACATGTTATAATATATAAATAATTACAATTCTTATTATATTGAGTGATTTTGTAAAATCAAATTAAATATCTTATTATTTTTAACATAAATATAACAAATTATTTGAAATGTCGATTAAATACATTACCTTAAATCTTTATAACAATTTTTAAAAATTTGATTTGATTGAAATGATTATTTTCCTGATTAATTATTTCTGATGTGATTCGATTTGAAGGATAAATATAATTTTCCTAATTTAGATATGTTTCGTTAGATAATAATATAAACATATATCACCATTATATTGTGACAAGTAATAGTTTCATTGATGGGGATCATAGGTAATGTTACGTTGTAGGAACTACCATCTTCTATACATGTAATTAACTTTGAAACTCAAATTTAATTATATAAAACCATTTTTTAGAAGGATTAACAAATTATGGTATATTTTCATTTAATGTTTGTTGTTTCACAATGATTAGATATATTTTTCTTAATTTGATTTTTCTATTTTGTATATGAAGTTGTATTTTTCTTTTCATGATTTGGTGGCTCTAGTAGTAGCAATGGTCAAAAGGGGTTGGGTGGTATGATTGAAGAAAAGAATAACAAGCAATGTTGTGAATGTGATTCACAAGAGTGATTGATTAGCGTATAATATATATTCTTTCCAGAGTCCTACTCCTAGCTATATGCAAACCTATACCATTAAAGCAGAAGCACAAAATCAGTAGAAAATTGACCAAAAATATTGAACCTACCAAAAGCTGACGGCGGTTGCTTCCATTTAAGGAAAGTTAAAGATTCATTCTTAGGAATCAATTTTGTTTTTTATCAGTGCCCAACAAAACACTCACCCAAGAGAAAAGAGAAATAAAAAAGCTGCCCAAAAGAATTTTATGTTGCTTCAAGCTGAAACAACGGATTGGAATACCCTCAAAAGCTTAACATTACCTCTTCAAGCAACCAATCTCGATGCTACAATTACCACTTCCTAACAGAACATTGGGACACCGCAAAGGAAGAAATTAAACCAGCTTGCAAGAGAGAGCTCCAATGGAAAAAGAGGTCGTGGAAAGCCTTTGGAATGGTGATGGAGAATCTCAAATTCAAGCAGCTTTAGAACTTTGTAGATTAGGAAGTAAGCAGAGGCACAAGTTGGAAGAAAGTGGAGTCATGGTTCCTCTTGTTTCCATGCTTCATTCTGAAAACTACGAAGCAACAGAAGCTGCTCTGTGTGCTTTGCTCAGCATTTGCTTTGGCTGTGAGAGGTTAGTTCATCATTCATCCTCAAATAATATTCATTGTAAACTCCTCCCATTTCTTCTTATGTCCACAACATAAGTAACTTTTAAGTATTTTTTGAAATCTTGAGTTCTGTTTTAACCCTGATGAATTCTTAAATCCAACTCACCTAAATAATTAGGAGTTGAAAGTGTTTAAAGAACAAATGATTACAAAAAATAATTTTTGTTCATTACAAGGATTTAGAGGCAATAAAACATGAAAAAATACAGCACAGCATAGGAGCAATTAAAAAGTCTGAACTTTTTAGTACCCCCATGATTGGGTTTTTGGTAGTGGGGCAAAGGAATATGTTCTTGGTAATAAACAAGGCTTGCCATTGGTTAATGATAAATTGTACCATCATATTTCTTTACCTAAAAGTAATCTACTAAACACAAAGGCCGAAATAAATCCCTTCTATTGTACGAATTCCTTAAAAAGTTTGCTTAGCAGTTAATGTAATGGTACAGAACTTTTCCAAAAATTGTACAGAAACAAGATTCGGATCATCAAATCTGGAGCTTTGCCAGTTCTGCTAAGTCTCCTCCATTCCCAAAGCCAAAGAGTGACACACTTGACTTTGGCAGCTATGCTAACCCTCTCTTCTTGCAAAGCAAATAAGGTAGCAATTGCTTCTGCTGGGGCTGTTCAACTCTTGGTTGAGTTTGTCAACAGCAATTGTAGCACTCAATCTCAGCTTGATGCTATAGCTACTCTACACAACCTCACAACCTGTCAAGAGATTATTCCACTGATTGTCTCTTCTGGGGTTATGCTCTCCTTGCTTGAACTGATCCACACCTCAGTAAAATCATCTCCATTGGTTGAGAAAGCAATTGGATTGCTAGAAAACCTTGTGTCTTCATCAGAGAGTGCACTGTGTGAGGCTGCTAGTACTATGGGAGCAATCAGGATACTTGTTGAGACTATTGAAGATGGATCTTCACTGAGCAAAGAGCATGCAGTGTGCATACTTCTCCTTGTATGCCAGAGCTGCAGAGAGAAATATAGAGGGTTGATTTTGACAGAGGGAGTGATGCCAGGGTTGCTTCAGTTAAGTGTAGATGGAACATGGAGAGCCAAATCCGTGGCTCGAGAATTGTTGTTGCTTCTGAGGGACTGCTCCAATTATAGATCAAGATGTAAGCAGATTAATCATGAGCTTTTAGAGAGGATTATGGAAGAAATTGAAGCAGAAGGAGAGAAATTGGCAGATACTACTTTAAGGCTGGTCGAGGAGATGATTGCAAAGGCAAAGCTTAATGCTTAATCTATGCTTGCATAACGTTTTTTTCCTTCTTTCTAACTTATTGGCATTAGTGATGTTTTTGGCGAGGATTTGTAGCTCAGGACTTCATTGCTGAGAAAATATTAGTAAACTAATGTAGAATTGACAACTCTTGTCGTGTACATACAATTGGTTCGGGGTTTTCTGGTACACTTCATGTTCGATTTTGGTGAGATCGATTGCAAGGTATGCTTGGCTTCTAAGTTGTTCCGAATTACAAACCTCAAAAGTTTGAATTTGATTGGAGTTTAGGATCTGATATTACTTTTTTATGTGTTAACAACTCACGGAATTTGGCAACTAATGCCCTGGGACTTGTTATCTTAAACTGAATCAGATAAAATATGATTGTCCCACTTTGGAAAAAGTGGACAAACAAATCAACATTTCTACACTGTCAAGTATCAAATCCCTAGAATCATGCGGGGTCTTCACTCTTCAGTCAATACTTTAAATCCCCCGAATGAAATAAAGTGGTGAGGGAGTGCTTTAAAGGGTAGTGTTCAAACTACTTTTAATGTAGAGTTACTGAATTATATAATCAATTATACTAGTCACACTAGTTATCAAGTACCTGTTTCATAAAAAGGCCTAGGAATGAAAAAGACAAAATCCTGGAGAACATTTTCCAAGGTAATTCAAAATATAGTGCCACAGTGATGAAGATAACGCGAATAAAACTAAAAGATTATAGAAATTCAAAAGAGCAGTTACAACGTTTTGAATATTCACATTATCGGTTTTAAAAAGTTCGCTTAGAATTTCTCGAAGTTCATAAAAGAAATTGCAAAGAGCAATTATTCAATATAGTACGAATTGATACAAATTCACAGTGCTGGTATTATAAGAAAAGTGAGCACTGTAGAACCCTCAGCAGGCTAAAACTTACTAATAATGCCAATTTCAGCTTGACCTTCTGCAAAATCTGTAAGCAACAGCAACAGCTGCCAAAGCTCCAAGTATACCACTAGCTGTAAGAATATCACGCTTCTGTAATAAAGGCCAACACCAATTTATATTGCTCCCCTGCTTTTTATATGCTTCTGCGCTTTTATTATCAATGTCTTTGTTTTGCCCAAAACTTGCACTTCTGCAGCAAGAAACCCCGTTAACACCCTGACAGCAACCTGCTACATTTTCGTTGTTGCTCAGATTGGCCTTGCCATTATCATCTCCGTTAGCAAGTTTGTGGTCATCTGCTACCTTCATTCCGGCAACAGGTGGCCCCATTTGACCCCTGAAACAATTTCACATGAACAAAACTAATCATCCTCCATTATAAAGAAGTCGAGTACTTAGATGAAATGAATGACATGAAAAACCAAATAATGTTGTTTTCCTTTGGTTATGAATGTAAGTAGTGAAGTTAGATGCAGAAGCGCAATGATTCCATTAGACAGGACCATAACAAAGGAAACAAGCCATATTGATGTATTTGACTGATGAATGAGAATCAGGCTCATGGCAAATGAACACTGCATGACTGGGGAATAAACCACCAATTTTGAAAGGACCTTAAATGACACGTAAAAACGGAGGAAATTTTTTTATTCACCATATGATTTATTATTTTTTTCTTATTATGTACTTGGGAGAAAACCTCAAACAAGATATAAAATGAAATAAAGGAAGTATTTTATTGTAGTTTCTACACTACTTTAAAGAGTTTTTTACCATTTAGAAGAATATTTAACATGATTTTTAGTACTTGAAAGATTACTTTTATAAATTTTTGACTTCAAGACCGAGAGGAAAAAAAATCATAAATGAATTTGGGGGTTTATTTATATGCAGGACTGAAAACGATAAATCCAATTAACTGTAAATTTGTTCAAAAGAGAATTTGTGTTCAATTTGGACATAACAAACAAAATCGAGATTCGGTTTTATTAATAGTAATCGCTGGAAGCAGGACGACATTGTCTCCAACCATCAGGATTCAGGCAGGAGACTTCCTTAAATCAGCCATATATATCCATGTGATCAAATTAACATTAATATCTTGATTATTCCACTCTATTGTCCAATAACCAATGCGCGGGTAGTTTAAAAACATTAAGAACATGTTTTGTTTTATTTTTTGTCTATACAAAGAATATGACCCGTTCAAATTAGCAATTCATCATAGAAAATATAGAATGAAACAAAAGTATACCAACCTCCAAAGCTTTTGTATGACCTCTCCTTTGGCAATTTGTCGGTCCAACAAGGTGGGCACGTCGTCCGGAGTAACATAGCCGTACCTTTAATCAATTATTAAGCTCAACAATTAAACCAGCGACTTCAAAGCATCCGTTTGTTTATATGTTTGCGTAGATATTTTAATTCCAACTATTTTTTATCAGTAGCAATTAAGCATGTGATAATGTTTATAACAATTCACTCATCATGTTCAATTATTTGAGTTAGATTCTTAATAATTTCAACTATGTTTGCAATTTTATACTTATATTTTTTTAAAATACAAAAAATCTCTTGAAAATATTTAATTTAAATGATAAAAACAATTATTGTTTGCGGAACATTTACTTCTTATAAGTTTATTAAAAAAAAATTCCATTAAAATTAGAAAATATTATCTCTATTTTATATTTATTGATATTTAAAGTTAATGTACGCTAATTAAAAAACCATTATTTGAGATATTTAAACTAAAAGTAATATCATATCCTCCTATTAATCATCTTTCGAATTTTCTCACCACTTTATTAGAAAATGTTAAATGAAAAATTAGATGTATTTAATGTTGGAGAAATTTAGAGATAGTCACTGCTTAAAATGTACTAGAATTAATAGAATAATAAAGTAAGGAGGATATAAACTATATTATTAAACTAAATTATTCTTATTTAATATTTCATTACTTATTATAAATTACTTTTATAGCAATCCTTAAACAGGAGTGTAGGTTAAAATATGAATTAATGAGACTTTAGATTTATAAAACACCAAAAAAAATGATAGATATGAAAGGAATGTAATAGAAGTATTGTGAAAACTAACCAATGACCCATAATTTTTCCATCTGATCCTGGGCAGAATATGATCACATTACCAGCATACTTATGGCCCCCAACATGAGAACACGCGACAACAGATATCTGATCCTTCAACCCCCTTAGCTGAATTTCCTCATTGAACTTATTTATGAGAACCGGCCCACAAACACCGCACCGGACATCACGACTTCCATGAGCACACACAAAAATATGCGAACCCCTCAATACAGTATGCTCTCCACCACTACTCCACTCTTTACCACTCACTATCACATCATCGAAAAAGCCATCCACATTTGACTCCTCCAAACCCCTTTCAATCAAACGACAACAAAACTTACTCAAATTAAAAAACTATTATTAAACATAAACACGTTTTGGTATCAGTCTAATACTCCATATGCAAACAAAAATTTTAAGCACAAAAATATTTAGATGCACTTTCTTGAGAAATTGAAACTGGTTCACTCCATAATCCACTCTGAACTTTATTGTAACCTAACACAGTGTTTAGTTCAAATTATTAACTAACATGATTTAAAAATGTTTAGTTTTACATTAAAAAAAATATTCTGAAGTCAGAACTAAATTTGAATTGAAAAATTTTTAGAAAAAATAAATAAATATTAAATTATACCTAATTTTATTATTGACTTGTTTTGAAAATAAAAATTAAGAGAAATTATACTTACTGTACTTCCTTAATGTAATGTTAAATAATATATTACAAAATATTTCATTCAATTTATTAACTTATGATTATATTTAAAAAAAATAAAAAAAATACAAGTATTACTTTATTAATAATATTTAAGATGAAAATATCTTTTAAAAAAGTATAAATGTCATTTTAAAAAACATCTGATTGATAAATGTTTTTTTTATATAATTGAATCGTTCAAATATTCTCTATAAAAATTATTTTTATACTTTAAAACTTTAATAGTTAATTTTTTTATTATTTTTATTAGAGTTTAACTAATATATTACTATTAAATCAAATAAAGGAAGTTAACGTGTTAAAAACATGAGAGAAAAAAATATCATTTTATTAAAATTATAAAAAAAAAATAGGGTCTTTGATCATTTAGAAGAGGAATGTGGTTATTATTTTATTAAAAATTTAAAATGCTTATTTTAAAACCAGATAAAACACTAATATTATTTAGCATAGCAATACTTAAAAGGAAGTCAGTCTAGTTTTCTATAAGAAAAAACTATTAATAAGAAAAACTATTAGATCACTTTAAAAACAGTTTCGTTCTAAAGTAATTCACAAACACACTTATTACATCAATCTCTTTGTGATAATATATTCTAATTTTTAACCTAAAATTTTATAGGTGGATTATGAAAATAAAACTCCGAGTCTAATGAAAAAATATTATGAGATATTACCACAAAGTTTTATACTAACTTTTATCTCAATGTCAAGTATATTTTTAAAATTTCATTTGAAAATCTCTTTACGACCCTCAAGACAAGATAACTTTTTAAAAAATACAAATTAATAACTTTTTCCACCATTAACTGATATTCATACTTTAAAATTTAAAACAGCGATTAACACTTTGAACATACAAGTTAATAAAAACACAACGAATCAACAATTCAAAAGAAAAAAAAAATCAAGCGGTTCTTTTTTAGCATACTTGTATTTGAACATGTCCGGGAAAATCAACACGTCTCCATCGGCGAAACCGGCCTCCTCACGCGCCTCGCACACCGTGATTTTAGTCTGCCGCACACGCCACAAACAATTTCAAAATCAATCCAAATCGCAATCTCAATTAATTCACAATCGGATTCCGAATTGATCAAACTTCAAATCGATCGCAGCAAATTAAAAATATGAAATCAAACCTTGACAGCGATGTCGTTTTTGCGAGCTTTCCAGACATTGGCGACGCGCTTGGGAAGAGGATCGTCGTCGGAAGCCTCGAGGCGCGGCGGCCAGGTGCGGTGGTTCCTGTAGCAGAGGAACACGTGGCGGTCGTAGGCGTCGACGGTGCCGGCGAGGTTCTCCTTGTACATCTCCGGGCGAGAGAAGCCGTGTTTGGTGTCGTCGACAACATCGGCGGAAGAAGCCATGAGAGAGAAGCGTCGGTAACAGCGAGAGAGAATGGGAGCGTTACAGATTCTGGCTCCGCCGATTATATAAGCTAACGGCATGGGTGCGCACTGTGCATTCGGTACGCAACGAAGAAAGTGACTCAAAGCGTGCCTTCTTCACCCTTCACACCACCACGCGCTTCAGTTCAAAAAAGTCAATTCAATTAATTTTCACTTGTAAGAGATTTTATGGAAGCACTTAATGTATTGTTTTTTTCATTATTCTTTTCAATTTATCAATAAAATCAATAAGTTAATTTTAGTTTATTAATAAGAATTATTTTCAAAAAAAATATTTAAACTATCTTTTCAAAAATAAAAAAATATATTTAATTTTTTTAAGCAAAGGAAATACAATATTTGGTTGAAAGCGCGCGTGGGGGTGATGAAGTTGGAAACAACAGAGGCGCGAGAATGGCAGTTACGGAACCCATCACGAGAAGAAGATTGAAAATTTTTTGTGCAGGTGGTTCACAATTTTAGCTCAACTTGCCAGTCAACGATATAAATTTCACATTTTTTTATTAATAAAACTGTGAAATTTGTCTAAACTTTTTCTTTTTAATCATCATTTACCAGCTACTTAAAGCTTTTGATTAGAAGGTGTAATATCTAAATATTATTTAGAAATTAGGGGAAAAAATTATATGGGAAAAGTTAGTTTGATGTATGAATGAAAATTATTTTCAATCTTGAAGAGAATTGATCAAGAAATGAGACTACAAAAATTAGTTAAGTTTATAACAATTTCGCATTTAAAAAAAAATGAGATTAAAGTCGGAGACGGGTCTAGAATTATACTGTATTAACTATTTTCGTGTCTGTTTTTTAAAATGGGAAAACTTGATTTTTTATTTGATTTTTCTGTCAAATTCGGGATGGAAACGAATTTCTCCTGCATGTGCGAGTGTAATTTCCAGGACAGTAATTAAATGCTAGGCCTTGCTATTTGCTTGACCAAAGACTTATGAGAAACAGGTTTTGAAAAGAGAAGTAAACAAGAGAAAGAAACTTGTTACTCAATATAAGGCATTTTGAAATTTCTTACAACAGTTTTTGGTGGACAATTATAAATGCTGATCAACAACAATGTAGTTGGGAACATTGCATCCTTTTATGGAAAGGACAGACAAACATGAAACACCACAAATGAGAGATGGAGATTGGAAACTAGTCCAACGAAGAAATGGTCACATAAGTATCAAAAGAAATCAATATCTAAATAATTACCAGAAGACTTCACACCAAGGTCCTTTTCCATTTGAGGAAGATTCATAACCTGCCTTGGCACCTCTGGAGGATTTGCACAACGGATCAGTGCCCAGTTAACATTCTGAAAGAATGGATGTTGTTTTATCTCTGTTGCGCCGCGTCTATAGGCAAGACGATGCTGAGGCTCTTTCACAAGCAACCCTCTGATCAAGTCCCTGGCAGCAAAGCTAACAGTTGGAGAATCTGGAAACCTTAGAGGCTGACCAATTACATTAAACAGAGTTGCGCGATTTGCTGAACCTTTGAATGGTGTTCTACCAAACAAAAGCTCATACAAGAATATCCCAAATGTCCACCAGTCCACAGCACTTCCATGCCCTTCACCCTTTATGATCTCCGGCGCCAAGTACTCGTGTGTTCCAACAAAGGACATTGATCTTGCATTTGTTGGCTCGGCAATTAGCTCGGGAAGAGGGGTCACCTGGTTATGCATATCATTCTTTGGTTTAGACTTTTTGTCTTTCCTGGATTTGCCAGATAAAAAGCGTGGCTTGAAGCATGATGGTTGGATGCAATCTGGCTGCATCACACATGTTGGCTTAATGCAGGAAGGCTGAACGCAGTATCCTGAACTTTTTGTCTCCAAGTTGTTTGATGACTTTACTAGAGTTGGACTAACAGTGCACCTTAGAGAGAGATCAAAATCTGAAAGCATTATGTGACCATCTTCTCTCACCAACACATTCTCAGGTTTGAGGTCTCTGTATATGATCCCAAGCATGTGCAAGTACTCCAAAGCAAGGAGAACTTCAGCCACATAAAACCTAAAAATCAAGAAAGTCGGTTAAACAAGTGACCATACAAAAAAATTAAGATACATCTTTGTCAAAGTTCAAGCCACCTAGGAAGACGGCAAGAAGGTAATATACCAGCAATCTTAATCTATTTGTCATAAATTGGTTTTGGTGATATGGTCATGGATGGAGAGAATGCAATCCAAGGAATAGATGGGAGCTTGGAAGGAGAAGAGAAATTTCAAAGAGCTAGAAGAGGAACTTAAGAAGTATCATATTTTTAACTTTTTGGAAGATTCTAGTAGTTTTTAGGAAGTAATAAAGTGGAAAGATAAATGAACTCACATGAGAGAATTGCAAGTTCATAAACCTAACCACCTCATTAATAAGAGAATTGCAACATCCCTTCACATGTCACTCTCATATCACATGGCCATTATGAGGTTCATCACCCTTGGTTATGTTCTTTAGAAGCTTCTTGAACCCTTTCTCACCTTGTAAAGAAAGGGTCTTTCCCTTGTACATGACATTCTTAAATATTAAATGAAATTAGAGCTTTTGTGAGAATTTTATTGTCTTGAGAGTTTGATGCTCTTTCCTTAGGTTCTTATCTTGGAGAGCTTCTCCAAGTGGTGAATCATTCTCGCACCTAACCTTAGTTCAAGCAAGGTGGTTAGTTCTCTATCCTTCTTTACTTAATCTATTTTGTGCCTTGCTTACGAGTTTTCACAGAGAATAACATTAATTATAGAAAGAATATGATTTCTATCTGCTGCTAATATAAACTTTTTCCCACGCATCTAATTGTGTATTGCCACATTATTGAAAGAGCTTCAAATTAACATCTTTTAAGTTTTATTATTGTAGTAAAACATGATTTCAAAGATAATGTAGAGATTTTCACTGAGTCACAAAAAACAATGGATTAAAATCAAGCTCAAAGAGGATCAGAATGTCACAGTCATGGAAAAGGAATAAGCAGGGAAATAAGGTAATTGACTAAGCATTAAGGCAGAGAAAGAAAAGGTAGAGCACGTGCAAGTGGTATGTTTTACAATTAGTCTGACATGGTCAAAAAGGGTAGAAAAGCCATGAAATTTTTCACAATCCTTGAGGTAGGCTACATAGAAATTCCAGGGGTCATATTGATGACAATGGACAGGAATGACAATCTGGTAGTCCATCTTTTGACACTTATACTGAGAAAATCCTAACTAGTGAAAGGCTTTAACTTATTCCCAAGGAAAGAATGGAGTTTTCATTCATGACTAGCTAAAGTTTCATTCTTGGCTCCTGATGCCATGAAATACATAAATCCACGGAACATAGAATTAGCTAATATCAAGTTCACTTGACCCTAGCTTGTTGTACATATGTCTTCCTGTTATATATAATACAATTGCAAGAATTGAGTACAAAAGGAATTGCTAACCTGACAGCATGCTCCGAAAAATACTTCCCTGGTTGTTTTTGCCTGAGTGCATGCAGGTCCCCACCAGGGCAGAACTCCATTACCAAACAGGAGAATGTTTCTGTCTCAAAGTGTGTATACAATGTGGGTAGAAAAGGATGATCTAAGGACTGCAATATCTCTCTCTCTGTCTGAGCCCTCACGAGCTTCTTGCGGTTCGCCAGCTCGGTCTTGTTCATGACCTTCATGGCAAAGGAAGTTCTTGTGCCACTCAGTTCAGCTAGATACACACTCCCTATGTCTCCACACCCCAATTTCTTCAACAACCTGAAATGCCTCATTTCCAACATCCCATCTCTGGTTCGTATAGCTTGAATTACTTCCCATCTAACGTCATTTGCCTTGTGAGGTTTATACAAAACACTGCTCAAACTACTGGTGCTACTCTCATCACTAACATCACTACATATGCTTGTCTTCCTGCTCTCATTAAAATCACTGGAATTCGCCACTTCTTCACTTTCACATGACTTGTCAGCACTAGCACACTCACTGACTTCGGTGTTGGTGAAACTTTCTTTGGCTTCTGAGTAGACAGTGGTTGAATAGAAACTATTCTGAGGACTTGGGCAGAAAGTAGCATCTGGCTGACAATGGTTCTTTGCATGATTAGCAAAGGCTCGTTTCGTGTCAGATTCCAACACACCATTTGACTCACAATCCTTGGAATCACCAATTGGTGCCAGCTTGCTGGACAATTTTGTTGGCAACTTTTCTTGCTTCAAGTTATTGCCCTCTAGATAGGAGTGTTTTTGATTAATTACATGGATGCTTTGATGATGGATGGTCTTGGTTTGATGACCACCCTCATGGTTTGTAGATGCTCTCAAGGGAGGCTGCGTAGGTAGGGGAGTCCCAGATGAAAGAGGATCATGATGTACCCCCGAAACTGAATTCTGAACCTCTGACAAGGAATCAACTCCATTAACAAGTGACTCCATGAAGGGTATCTGAACAGGCTTAAGAATCCACCTCAGCGCAGCGAATTACCAACATGTACTCATTCAAAGAGCTCTTAATAACAGAATCTCCTACAAAATTGACATTTAAGAAAAGAACCAGCAAATAAATAAGATAAAGGACATTAATCAACATACAGGACACATGTAACGAAATTTAAAAAAAAAAATGAGAGAATCTGCAAGAGACCCATTTCAGACGCAATGAATCACCAGAGAACAATCTAAGTGAGCAGAATCCATTTAGAAAGCCCCAAACAAAAAACCTTCTAACTCAGACACCTTATTTAGCAACCCAAAAGAAAGAATCATAAACTGCAAACATCTAAAGGACTCTTCATTCAGCCTCAAGAAAATTCAGTGAGTAAAATGCTGGGTTTTACAAGTTTCCCAGAAACCCCATGTTCCTTTGTTTACACTTGGTAACAAACAAGACCAAAACATGATGTAGGAACGATCCTCGTCAAAATCGTCAATAATGCATTAGACTAAAACACCCCAGGTTGAAAAGTTTGATTCTTTAGAAGCCTCCTTGAGCTTTCTTTGATTCTATTACAGTACAGTGATGGAAAACCCCACATAAGAAAAAACAAAGCTTGGGAAAGTGGATAAAGTGATCACCCTAAACAAGAAAAAGGCAGAGAGTGAAAGTCAGAGAACCTGATCAGGCAATGTGGATGAAGAGCAAAAAATGTTATTTTCCTTTATTCATAGACGGTGGAGGAACAGAGGAACAAGCATGCTGTTGAATAGAGGGAAGAAGAAGATGATGAAACACAAAGTGAAGTAACTTTGGGTAGTCTTTGAACATACCACTGGAAAAGAGTGAAACACCCTCTTTGTCTCAGATCCGATCCAAAAGGAAAGAACTAAACAAACAATTCTAATTTCTATACCCATTCTCACACTCAATCAACATTGTTTAACACCTTATTATTATAAAAGTTCATAAATGATACAAATTAATCATTTTAAATATTTTTGTTCATGTTAAAAAATATTTTTTTATACAAAACTCAAATGAAACAAAATATAGTTAACAACTTGTTAGTATATATACTTATTATTTACCCATAAAAATAGTAGAATATTTTCTCTTATAAACCACAGGGGATAGGATTATTATAAATAATTATTAAGTATAATAAGAAATTAATATCAAATACAATATTTAATTTAGTACGGCCAAAATAGACTCTCCAATTACTAGTAAAGTTAAAAAAATGTAATAATTTAATCTGTATTTTAAAATAGGTTAAAAATTTTGGCCTAATTTATTCAATATTAGGTCAATAGGTTAACAGATCATTTTTTATCTAATTAAAAATAATTTTTTTATTTATTTAATTTTGTTTAAAAAATATGTCATTCACTTATTTATTTTAAATTAACTCATAACTTATTCAAAAAAAATAAAATCAAATATATAAAATCATAAAAATAAGTTATTATGCTCATGTAACATTGAAGAGTTATAATTATTCATATATCACAAGTTAACCATATCTTACTAGAAATATTAGATTAGATAACACATCTTCTAATTTTTAAATACACGTTATAAACTTCTTCAAATATTATAAATATTTGTAATTGAATTGTTTATAGTAATTGATTTAAAAACAAGTATTCAAAACTTTATTTATTTCTTAAATTTTCTCGTACTCAACATAGTTAAATTGAATATCATATTTAATAATGCATCTAACAAGTACATATCGATCGATTTTATAGTCAAATTTTTATTTATTCAATAAGCTAGTCTTATTATTCAAAACAATCCTCACATCATAGTACTTTGAAAATACATTATATTTAAGAATATATCGTCTTAAATTATTATTCCTTAAAACGGTATAATATAAAAAAAGAAAATAATTATAACAAACGAAAATTATGTTTAGAGTTTATTATTCTTTCTAAATTACTTTTATATATATATATATATATATATATATATATATATAACAAAATATATTATCAAATTAATTTATTATACATATATTTTCTAATAAAATAATATTATTTTTATTTTTTATAAAATAATTATTATTTTATAAAATAGATGAGTTCATAAATATATAAATTAACTTGACTTAAATCAATTTAAATATGATCTAAATAGGTCAAACTAATATTTATCTAATTTTATTTAAGATATAACTTTTTTTTCTTAGTTTAACCTACTTTATTTTTTATTTTTTTTACCTTTTAGCTAACTCATAGAGGTAAGCGACATCTAGTTTAATCACATTTTCAATTCCTCCGGTATCCTAATTGTACAATTTTAGTTATTTAGATTTTAATTAAATTCTAATTGATTAAAAAACTAAAATAACACAGTTGCAACATGTTAGATCCTATTATATCAGTTAGAACTTGAAATTTAAGAGTATTTTTTAAAACAGGACAATGGAATTTAAGAGTATAAAAAAATATCAATGTTAATATAATATGAAGATATTTAAGTGTAATTTTTTATTATTTATTTTATATATTTTTTTTATAAAATGGGAATGAGTGAATTATAATTAAAGAAAGGTACTCGTATCTTAATGTAGTTTTCCTCTAATAAAAGTCAAAATTTTCTTGTTTCTAGTTCTTGTTTTGCAAAAATTTATGCTTTTTGAGAACACAAAGTTCAAGAGAAATGGATAGTGTTGTGTCTGTAATAGGGCACTTCATATTCTTCCCATAAACCATGATACATGAAGCACTCTTTCCCACTTATTTTAAACAATAATATTGTCACTTTTATAGTTTTATATCATTTTTCTTATTTTATTATTACTTTTTTTTCTCAAACAATAATATCATTTTTAACAATAATTGATAATTTTGTGGTATGTTATAATCTACATTTTAAAATATGGATTGATTATTAAACCAATTAAAGTGTGAATCAAATGTTTTATAATACAATAATCAACTATGATCAAAATTATAATAATAATTCAAAAATTATAAAAATAATATTAAAAATATATTATTAAAAAATTACAACACTATAAATATAAAATATTATAATATTAAATTTAAATATAAATGAAGGCAGCAATGTTCATTAGCAATAACGAACATACATCTGAAATAAAATAAAAATAGAAAATGACAAATTAATATATATATATATATATATATATATATATATAATTAAGACATAAAAATTGTAATATAATATAATATAAATGATTAAATTATACGCTTTATTAAAAATAATTTATATTTTATAGTATTAATGAAAAAAATATTTTATTTATCTTTAAAAAATTCAAACTAAACATGAAATAGTTAAAAAAAATAAAATATTACATTTATTTACTAATTTCACTAATTTTTACTAATAATGAGATTTTGAAAATTATGATTAGTATTTAAATTTTTTGAAAACATGACGATAAAATCATTTTCTTTTCTACTTCTGAAGATTTTTGTTAAAAAATAAATAAAAAGAACTTAAAAAAATATGGTTAAATAAAGCAAAATAGTCAAGATACTTCATTGTATCTTTACTTAATATAATGACTATTTTATTTATTTATTTATTTATTTATTATTTTATGGACATAGGATAAAAATACTTATATTTTTAAATCTTTTTAAACAAATTCAATTTATTCAAACATGATATATATATAATTTTTTTTAATTAGACTATTAAATTAATACACACGATTTCATTAGTATATCAATTGTGTTTACAATTATATATGAAGCTTTTATATTTAACTAAAATATTTTGTTAAAACTAATTATCTTATAATTTCTTTGTATACTAATTCTTTTAATATTGAGATTCATTTAATAAACTAACAAATTTATATATTATTTCATATACTAACAAATTTAAGTATTGATGGTTTATAATTATAGGATTCATTTTGCCTTTTTTTTTTAATTTTAACTACTCTTTTATTATTTTATTAATTTTATATACCTATTATTGTTGTGTAAAAAAATGACACACAAGGAAATGTAATTGTCAAGAAGATAATTAAAATATTTGAGTACTACATGTGTTTCATTTCCTTTGGAATCAAGGGTTTATTTTTTTGTGGGTTAGCATTATCTATTAGCCTAAATTTTAAATTATTAGTGTAAACTATGACAATAAATTATTATTATTTTAAACTGTGAATATTAATTATTTAAATTTATAATGTTGTTTTGTATATCGATATTTTCCTTTTTTTTAATTCATCAATTTTAATTTTATTTAATTTTTTAAAATAATAATAAAAAGTTGAGAACATTAATTTAGGGTTTCCACCACCTTCACCAATGGCACACACTAGTTGGCTACTTTCTAAGTAATGATTGTGGCCACTTGCATGGTTTCCCATATTTTTCAAACATTCATTTCTTAATTTTTTTTCTATTCAAATAATTTATAAATATTGCTATGTATAAGTTGAAAGTGAATTTATATTTTTTTTCAATTCATCAAGAGATATTTTTTTAAATATTAAATTATGAGATTTTAAAATTTTAAGATAGGATTTTAGATATGATAATATATTTTAACAATGTTATTATGAGACAAAGATGTTTGAAACAGTGATTTTGAGAAAACAGTGTAAACAATCATATTCATTGTCTATCAATCACTTTGATTGATCCATACAACACAACACAAGTAGATTCACCATTCATTGATACCTTGCATTGCATTCAATAGTCATTGAATTCTGCATGATGAGTTGGAAAACACTATACCTTCATCCGCTTTCAAATTCATTGAAGTGAAATAAACAGGGGAAAATTAGTAACCATGCTTCAAAGGATTCAATATTTAGTTGAGTGATGCAATCAATCTTATTTATGCAAAAAAGGGTTGAAATTGGTGCTAATTATTGGCAACACAGAGGACAGTATTATGAATGAAACAGGGCTAACAGGTTTCACAGGCTGTTTATGTTGGTCACAACATAGCACAGCTTGCAACATATCTTATAAAATATGTAGTTTTTGTTGCTCTGTTTCATATGATATGATATGAATGTTTGGGATTATATGTGAAAAAAAAAGGTTCTGTCATCTTGCACGTGATTAACAGTGCACACTGCACATTGTGCAGTGGAAAAGGTACAACCTGTGTTTCACCACACATCCATCATATAAATCTCAGTTCAAAAACCACACCCTCAACCTAACAAGTTACTATGTTTAGCTGAAAAGAACAGATACATGTTTTCATAGTTTTGGACCAAATTGAAACACTGATTGTTAACACTATTCAATGATTATGACATCACAGATTCATTAGGTATGTTTGACAGTAGATGAACAATTGGGGTGATGAGAAATGACAATGCAATCATGGTTGGTTAACCAAACACCTTCCTAGAATTCCTCGTCTCACATATGGACCCATAGGTCATCCCTCTATGATGTTTTGCCATTGGAAATGAGAAACAATGGATCCAAAGGAAACAATCACACCCATATTCATCAAACTTATAAAACTAATATATTTTATCTCTCATCAACTTTTTCTTGTGTGTAATTTGGGTTCAAACACGTGCATTGTCTCCAATTATAGGTCTATCTGCTTCTTTTGAGATTGCATCTTTATCACCCTTTTATATGCTAAATAGTTTGCAACTGTAGTCGTCTTTGTCCTGCACTTGTTGTCGTGGTATTCTCATCAACTTTCATCAAATTATTTTCTTCCTATTATCTTACCTTCGCCAATTTTCTTATCAGTCCTGTCTATGCAAAGGAAAAGATTCTCTTGTTGAAAATTTGTAGTTTTTGTGTAAGTATTTATACATGATAATGTAAAATTTATCTCATATATATATATATATATATATATATATATATATATATATATTATTTATTAAAATTCGAATGAAAAATATTTTCAAAGAAATTGAAATATATTATTTTTTACTGAGACATAAATGAAGTGAAATTTATAAATTGTCCTTAAAAGTTATAACATAAAACATGGAGAACTTTTGAAGGTAGACTAATTTTGCATGATGCTTTGCCATCATTTGTTTTGATCAAAACAATGCAAAGATGAATTCGAGATTTTTGTATGGTGGGACTGAAACACCAGAATAATCTTTCTTTTCTGAAAAACAATTCATTGATTCACTTACCCAAATTAGAAATAAGTTATCTTCTACTCTTTGACTAGGCAAGGTGTGTTAAACAACACATCTAAAAGCAAAATGACATCAAATTTTTTTAATCTATAACTTTTTTTCATGCTAACTATTTCAGGTAGAAAAAAAAATTAATGAAATTAAACTGAAAAAACTTAAATTGACAAAATCAAATGTAATAATAATAATGTTTTAAATGTTTACTTATCACACTAATTATCTTATTGAAATATGATTATTTTTAAAAATATTTGTGATTTATACAAATTTTATAAAAAAATAATTTTATTTAATATTTATTAAGAATTAAATTCTGATACTTATTTATTAAAAATAGAAAATGTCTAACTTGATATTATAAAATTGACTTATAAATTTCTCGTATATTATATTTTATGGTATCTAAATGGAATTAACATTATTTAAACTTGTTTCAAACTTAATTAACAATAAGTATAATAATAAAAAAAAGATAGAATTTATGAAAAATAAATATGATGGAAAAGAAAAGAAATTTTAGATACTCCAAAGTTCATTAAATTAAATTAAATTTTCTTTTTTTTAACACAACCTTTTTAACAAATTAACAAAATAAATTCAGTTTTAATATAAAAAATAACAAAAACAATTAACTAAAACTACATATAACTAAATTGACGAGACACTTAATGTATATTAAACAAAAAGTAATATTTTGAAAAATTGCAATCTTTTATCCCAATTACTATTTATCTTAATATTTTTCTTTTGACCCAATTTCAGTTTCCACGTTATAAAGTATAAAATATTTATATATCATTCAATAAAATTTCCTCTTTCTACTACGCTATTTTATTTATTAACGGTGTAATGCTGTCCCACAAAGACACTCTACCTCGGCCCAATATTAGTGTCATTGGTCATTATATAAATATGAAATGCTATAAGCACATTCTTTAGTTACTTACACTTAAATTTTATAAAAGAAATGTTTCATAAGATGAATTTCATGTAAAATAACGTGCAAGAGAGTGTTTCAGAAACTATTCATGTGAAAAAAATAAGTAAACAGCATTGTGCAATTAAATTGAAAACGAAAAAAGAACTAGTAAGTAGTACAAAGCAACAATAAAGATTGAGAATACAAGCATCTGCAGAATTTGCAGCTTACATGAATAAAAAAAGACTTAAAAAGGGGGATCAAATGAAAATTTTGTTTAGACTTTGAAGAAATGGGTGTGCTGATGATAATCGAAGTATTCTTGCCAATTCTCTCTTGGAAAAGAAAATATGTAATCTAACGATGAACCAAACACAAACTACAAACATGCTTTGATGCTAGACATATTAGTCCTAGACTATAAATTCTTGGTTTCCAATCTTATCTTCCATAAGGATGGTATCGGCCAGCACCATAACCACCTCTACTGCTCCCATAGAAGGGACCTCCACTAGCTCCTCCATATCCACCTCCTAGGTTGCCATCATAGCCACTTTGATAGGCACCACCACCGCCACCACCAGAAGAACCACCACCCCCACCATATGCCCCATAATTCTCACTAGGTCCGCCATACCCACCTAGATCATACCCTCTGCTGAAGCTTCCACCATAACGACCAGCATACCCAAGCGAAGGATCTCCTCTGTACGGCCCCATTGCACCAGCATATCCTCCATAACCTCCAAATTCACTTCCATAGGCACCATATGCACCACCCCTACCGCTACCATAAGCACCAGCTGACCTATAACCACCCCCAACTCCAAAACTGCCACCAAATCCATCATAAGCATCTCCATATCCACCACTGCTGTATGAAGACCTTGAGTCGTTGTAGCGCTTCGATGATGGAGGTGCTGAGTTTGGCTTCTTTGGTTCAGCCTTCTTGATTTCCACCTACAAAAGAAAAATGACAAGGTTACTTTATTGATGAAAACAAACACTAAATGGATAAAATACTCCAACAAGGCTCTTGACATTTCAAATAGAAATAATTACATTTACTTTGTGTTTGGATAAGGTATTTTGTAATTTTTAAGAAATTCAACCAAAGTGAATTTGAATTCCTTTCATTTTAAAGAATTTAATTTTTCAAATGATGTTTTTGGATTAAACAATTCAAATTAATTGAATTTTAATTTTCTTAGTTGGATAAAGAATTTCAATTACTTTCAAATATAAAAGTTATCATTACTAGATTTGTATATTTGGTTCAACTCACATTACTTGACCCTTGTCCACATGGATCAAGTTAGACTAAGACAGACCACAACAAACTAAATCGAGTCAAGTTAGATTAGGACATACTAACTCGGTAAGGTTGAGCATGGTCAAGATAAATTGCATTGGGTCAAGAAGGCTAGGTCAAGTTGGGTTAGGCTAACAAGTTGGGCAGAACCGAGTCATGTCGGGTTGTGTTGGGATGAATCAGGATGTGTTAGGATAAATCAAACCATGTCGGATTGAGTTTGGTCAAGATAGGTTAGGTAAGTTCATAACCAAATAGGACAAATCAAGATAGTTTGGGTTAAGCTAAAACAAGATGTACTAAGTCAGGAGGAGTTAGATCAAGAAGAATTGAACCAGACCAAGATGAGTCAAGTTGAAATAAGTTGGGCCATAGTAGACCAGACCTACTTGATCAAGAAATTTTAGATCAGGTCAAGATGGGTTAGACCAGTTTAAGATGAGTTGGGTCAAACCAATACAAGATGGACTAGATAGTCGATATGGTTCAAGTATGGTTAGAACGTGTTGGATTAGTTCATACCATGTCGAGACAGATACCAAGATGAGTAAAAAATATCTCAATTTGAGAAAATATGAAGAGAAGAGACAAATTTGACAAAGAAAAAAGATGAAAATTTCAATATTATTATATTTTAGTTAAAATTTGAAATTCTCTTATTTTAAGTAATCAAAATACCCTCATCAGTTTCTACAATTTCAATTCCTTTTCAAATTCTCTATCCAAACAACTACTTTTGTCATTAAACATTTCAAATAATCTATCAAAATGAATTACTCTTTATAAATTCCCCATCAACATAGAGTTAATGTAAAAAAAAGGCTTGTGATTGATAAAGGCCCCAACCCAGGATGGTAGTGCTAGATAGATAGTAAAACAAACATACATACACTAAGAAACATCACTCCAAGGTTGATAGATCAGACTAATATACTACTAAAGGTAACATACTCTTGAAGATGGCATCATATATCAGTAAAACTAAATATAATCACATGCCCTTCCACCATCCCAAAAAAGAATAGGAGAACTTCTAATTAATACGCTTGAATTTCCCCCCCCCCCCCATACATTTTTACTTTCTAGTGTAGTTTCTGCATACTATTCAAAGCAAAGTAAACCTAACCTGAAGAAGAATAAGTGAAGTTCACTAAATTTATCAAAAAACCTATACAAAACTATTGGATCTCCAGGGTAATGGTAGAAATTGTCACACAGAAAACTGAACTAAACTATTTTTTATTTGGTGTAGAGGAATCTCCACAAAAATGGAGATTACCTCCTATAAATTACAACAAGAATACAAAGTAAAATACAGGAAGAAAATATCTTAATAGGCCGAACTACCCAAGAAAGATGAGTTCCCTCACCCTCTCCTCACTCTCTCTCACTCCTTCTAACCCATTCCCTCAACCAACTCTCCTTTTCTTTTTCCCATAAGCATTTTCTTCTTTCTAGAATAAACTTTCCAAGGTCTCAGCAAATAATTGATTTGGCCAACCAGTTCCCATTTTAATTTCCTAGGTGGATTTTTGTTAGAAAGTTTACTTTAATACTAAGAAACAATAACTATTTCAAAAACACAATGGTTTTTTGGGTTCAGAAAATTGCAACTGGTACATTGAACAAAATGGGAAGAAGAAAAATCATTGCTACTTGATTTTTTATTTTTTTTGCAAAAGCAAATTCTAAAATATACATTTCAGGTTACCAACAAAATCAGGATGCCACTCTTTTACTGGTTTCAAACAATTTCAAAATAAACTTTCAGTCAAGAAATTTAAAATTTTATAAAATTAACCCTCAAGATCTGGATGCCAATTATATAATGTAATGCAGGTACTCATTTTGCATGAAAGATTCCTCACCTGAGCTCCAGCAAATTCAATTTTGTTCCCCATGGATAGAAGATCATCAACTGCTTCTTCAGAGTCAAATGTGATAAACCCAAAGCCACGAGATCGGTTGGTGGAGTGGTCCCGCATTATTTGGTGATCTTTCACTTCACCATAGCGAGTAAAGAAGTCTCTAAATTCATCTGCAAAAGTTTATCTTGATTAAATGTAATACCAACCAAAGAAAGTGTCATTCACCGCAGCTGTTCTACTAGTGAAAAGTTACTAAAATCAAAAACTACTTTTAGAGTCTAACATATGGTTAAAGTTAATTGTAGTATAGTTTTAAAGGTACAAAGGGGAGTCATAATGAAAATAGTCAATTTACTTGCACATCACACAACATATCATTCACATCAGAACAAATGCAAATTACATGTGGCCAAGTGGTTCATAAGAAGAGTTTCTAGGAGAAGAAAGCTTGAACATATTTGGTACAACAGAATAAGGGAGTTCTGTCTGTCTACAATACCAGAGCAAACCTCTGAAGATCCTAAACAGTACTCTCATATATAAAAATAGTGTTCAATTCTAGGATCTGAAACTTAGTTAAATTTTTATGCCCATACTGTCCTCATAGGTCGGAGTTTGCTCTCTCAAGGTGTTGCAATGTGTCCCCCTTGTTGACACCTCAGTCAAGCAGCAAAGAATTTAGCTAACTAAAGAGTAACCTACCTTCAGTCACATTTGAAGGAATTCCACCTACAAAAATTTTCTTTGTCCTAAAATCCTTAGAGCCAACAGCTCCCCTTGGTATCGTCCGCTTAATCTCAACCTATATATGATGATCCCAAAACCATAAGAGCCAGCAAAGTATCCATTCACTAATCACTATAATCAAAACAAAAAACAGGTAACATGACATCCTTAGCCAAGACATCATCAAATTCAAGTCATACTTGTTTTCCATTGATGACATGAGGATCCTCAATGACTTTATCAACCACTGAGGGATCCGCGTACGTTATAAACCCGAATCCGCGAGGTTGCCCAGTTTTCCTGTCCTTCATGATGACTGAGTCCGTGATCTCACCATATTTCCCAAAGTGCTTGATAAATTGAGCTGTAACAAAACAAACACACAAGTCAAAGGGTTAAGGTAATAAAAAATCAATGCACAAAGCTACAAACCCACACAATTCAGAGAAGGGATTGCCAACCCAAAAATAACAACTACGATAATCATAAAAGCACTAACCAATGGTCGTTTCTCTCGCTAAACCTCCTATAAATATCTTTCTGCAAATTATGGGTCAAGTGTAATTAGAACCAAATCTAAGAACATTATTATCATCTAATCTAAACAACCAACATACTGAAACCCTTGTCTAGGAACTGCATAAACAGGGGTTCTTTTCATGAGCTGCGTTTACCCAATTTCTCCAATTTCAAAATTTCCGAGAAACCAAATGAAACTGGGAGGAAACAAAAATAGAAAAGGAAAAATTACCCGGGACTGGCACCGTCGCCGGTGAGCGGTTGGGAATTGTGAGGTTCTTCTCTGTGGGAGAAGGGTGTAACGACGTCGTTGGGGTCAGCGGCACCCACCACATGCTCGTTTCCGGGTGATTCCATGGCTTGCGAATTCAGGAGAGGATGCTAAAGAGAAAGAAAAAGAATAAGAGAAACCCTAGATGGATATTGCTTCTCTCTCGTGTTTAATTTTTGTAAAACCCTCTTTTTTATTTTGTTTATTTATTGTGAGAGAGTGAGTGGTTGATGTTGAGAACAGAGAAGCAATAATTGGTATTAGATTCCTTGTATTGTATTCTATTGCGGTAGTGCTCATGGGCCGTAGATGTTCTATGGGCCTCTTGCGCTCCTCATTTCATGCAAGCTTTTTGGTTATAATAATTTTACTCTCTTTCTTTCTTCATTCCCATAATTTCTTCCCACACTTCATAATTTATATAAAATAACTAAAATACTCTTTTACTAACTTTTATTTGAAATCTTAAAAAGCTTTTCCACTCTTCGAAATCTTAAAAAGCTTTTCCACTCTTGGGCTCCTCTGCATCTCCATATCTCCTCTGCACCTTCATAATTCTTGTATCTTCTTCCGTCCTTGTCCTTCTACCTCTATTGAATATCATTTTCAGTTTATAAGATTAGAAATGATTAATATTTTGTACATATTATAGAACACTTATCTTAACGTTAATGAAAATTGGTTTAAAAGTATATATAGGAATAATCTGAATGTATTTCTAGATTAGATGTTTGAAAAATATATTTCAAATTAAGTGTTTCCAAAATCAATTTTAAAACCGTTAATCCAAAATATATTTTATGAATAATAAATCTGAAATATATTTTCAAAATATTCAATCAAGAAATGAACTTTGGATTAGTTCCTCCATAACTCATTTCTGGATTAGGATTAGTTCTTCCAAAACTCATTTCTAAATTAGGTGTTTTAGAAATATATTTCAATTTGAGTATTATGAAAATAACAATCAAATCTAAAAATGTAATTTGGATTAGATTTTTCTGTTTTTGGTGAAAATTTGATCGATTTTGATTAAATCGAGACTTAAGTTCTAATCAAATCTTAACCATGTAGATTCTTTTTATTTAGGTTAGTAAACGGTTTTCAATCGAAATATGTATGAAAATCATAAACCCCATGGTCTCAAAAGAAAAACAAAAATTAATGATCAAAAGTACTATTTTTGGTATTTTTTAATAAGAAACGCGAAGTAAAGAAAACAGTAAAAGTGTCGAATCAAAACGCAGTGCAGAATATCAAATTGTAGAGAAATGTAAAATGTGGAAAACTTCAAATTTGCATTAAGTGTAAATGGCAAGGAATCGAAATTGCGGAAATGTAAATAGCAGGAAATCGAAATTGCAGAAATGTAAATGCCGAGGATCTTAAACGCATAACCTTAACTTGCATAAAAGTAAATTTTGCATAAAAGTAAATGACAAGGAATCGAAAAGACAAAACTTAAAGTTTGACAAAACGTAAACTGCAATGAAAGTAAATTACCAAGGAAAGTAGAGAAAGCGATAAAGATAATCAATGAAAACGGAAATCCAGAGCATTAAAAACTTCATGATGCGTCGTTCTCCTGTAGACTGTTCACTTGCGCTTCTGTTGTCTCTGCCCCCCTCTTTTTCTCTCAAGTCTTCGCTCTATTTATAGAGCACCTTTCAAGTAACCTCCTAAGAGCAGTTAACAAAACTGCCACCACGATCCAACATGCACGTCCCTTAGTTCTACGGTTTAGAAAACTGCATTTCACGTTCCCATGCATGAGATAACCGCTTCCTTGATCTTCGATCTCTGCCACGGTTTAGAAACCGCTTCCCATGTTCTATGTGCGCATTAACCGTTCCCTCGATCTCGATTTCAAACATCGTGTACTTTGAATTGTTTTTTATTCCCTTTAATCTTAACATTACACTAGATTCTAATTTCTCGATTCTCTTCAACAATAGACATCCCCTTCGATTCTCGATTCTGATTCTCGATTTATATGTGTTTTTATCTTGTGGTTACCAGGTGTCTTCTGCCTGTCTCTTATCAATTTTTTAACCAACTATATGATCTTCGATATTCCTCTTTCTTGTTTATCGATCCTGGTATCGATTTTTATTTTACTAACAAATGCCCCCCTGGAAGAATATAAGTATTTGTAATTTTTTATATTCTTCCAGAATATGACTTCCGCCCTTAATCGTTCTTGAAACTCGAAATAACTCCTTAGGGTTTAGGGTTTCCAGGGTTTTAGGGTTTCTATCTATTTTATATCACCTATCACATCACCTCTGCTGCCACGCTTTTAATTACCCGCTTTAAATTTGCCGTTTCAAATACCCTACTCGGCTTCTTTAAATACTTTTATCAATTTTTTACCCTTATTTTTTACCACGAACCTCATCCTTCGTTGCACTTCCTCATCTTCAACCTTTTGTCTTCCTCTTCTCTACCGATTGTAATGGCGACCTCCAAATCCTCTGATTTCTCCGGCCCACCACTTTCCTCGGTGACCTCCAACCTAATAGAGATTAATGGGAAGAAGTTTGTTCCGGTTCCTTTGATGGAAGAAGCCTCACAAATGATTGTCGAGACCCAGGTACTTATCCCTTACGTCGCTGATAGTGTAAATTATGCGTTTGGTGGTCCTATCCGCTACTGTGGCGGATCGTTTTCTTCTTCCCTCAGCCTTTCTTCAGAGAGTAAGGCTCTTATTCATCAGTCTGAGGTTCGAATTGATTTTCTGAATATTGTCTCCAAAGTATATCGAACAGGCCCTCCCCACAAAAAACCCTTGTACATTAGGTGGTTTGACCGAGTTAAAACTAAGTTTGGAAACCATTGGAGAGATGTAGGGATCTTCGATTTCCTACATTTGTCTCGATGTGATCTGTCGTTTTTAGATATGGCCATGTTTTTATCTGTCGTCCATCTGTGGAATAAGGATTTACATGCATTGGAACTTCCTTGTGGTCCCCTTTCACCCACCCTTTTTGAAATTGCTGCAATTACTGGATTAAAGCCCACAGGGGAGAAATACTATAAGGGTGCTTTCCCTTTGGATAATTCTTTAAGGTCAAAAATCGATTGGGAATCGAAGGCATATGGACATTTTCTCGAAAAATATTTTGTCGACGATCAAACAGTAGTTGTTTCTGATGAAGAGCATGTGGCCTTCTTGGTATATTGACTTTGCACCCACGTCTTTTGCCCTCGATCCATCCAGATCTCGTCCCACCTTTATAATCTTGCCTATCTCCTCCACATTGGCCAACCACGAATTTGTTTAGCAAAGTTGTTATTGGCCCATGTTTATACTTCTTTTGATGAAACCGTCGATATTTTGAATACCCCCAAGGCCTCAGGGAATTTTTCAGGTCCCATTTGGTTCATTCAATTATGGATTACCTCAATTTTTGAAAGTATCCTCCCTCCAACCTCCAACCTCCAACATTCCCCCAAATTTAAATTTGGAAGGTGCTCGATTATCCTCTCGACACCCTCACCACAAATCCGACGAGACTAGTTATCGCAATTACCTAAGATTTTTGTTGACTCAATTTCATTTTGAGTCAAACTTGGCCCCCTTCACCGTATATCAAGGGAAAGTAAGTGACAAGCTTCGAGGGCCGGCATGATTTAAGTCAAAATTCCCTGCTCTTACTCCCGGGTTACAATCAGAATTGGTCGAAGTGTGGAGCAATTACCTAACCCAAGATGTTCTGGTATCAAAGGATCTTCAACTCATCACTTATTATCCCAAGCTCTTCTCGCGGCAGTTTGGTTTGAGTCAAGCTTTACTCTTTTTCCCCCTCGATACCTCCTCAAGGTCCAAATTAAGTGAACCAACCGTTGGACGGGAGCTTGCCAAACTGTTGCCAAAAAACCCAATGCATTTTTACCCTTATACTTTTGAATCGAACTATTTATCTACTCTTGGTTTTTCTTAGTGGTGGACCGATTGGTTTTCAAATATTCATTCTAATTTTGACATAGTCCAATCAAAATTGACTGCTCGTCCTTCTCTCGTGTTGCAGGACAAATCGAAGGCGAAGAAAGGTACATACTCTCACTATCTCCAAATATCTCGATTCGAAAATTTTTATCGAGCATGCTACAACCCCTTGAAATTAGAAGAGACCTTTTATGATGTTATTTCCCTAGTCAATAAAACAGACACTAACCGATCAAACCACAAAATAATCAATCCTCGAGGCAAAACCCCATTTGAAATGTATTGTCTCAACCATCTTCCCACTTTCCCTTCAGCTCCTTTTGGACTCGTCAAACCTTTAACTCATCCTAAATGGGTTCGAGAGTTAAGATCCTTGAAAGAAACTCTTTCTCCCAAACCCAAGAATAAAGAAATTTCGATATCAAAACTGTCATATTTCCCTTACCTGAACTTTCCTCAAAATCTTCTTCCTCCCTGGCTCGTCCATATCGACTGAGTCAAGATTTTAACTCCATCACCCTTTGGTGAGATTTTACTGCCTCTTTTAGGAGTATTTTTAATTTTCTTCACATTGCAAGTTAATTGTTTTTCTTCTTTTGATAGTTTCGAAACCTCATAAAATCGTCACCTCCGAGAAAGACTAGGAGTCTTCGGACGAGTCGGATCCATCGGCCCCCACTCAGAAGCGCAAACATTCTGCCACCATTTCTTCATCTTCGAAAAAATTGAAGGTTTCTTTTCGATTTCTTATTGTCTTATTTATTCAACTTTCTTTGTCTATAGTTAATTCACTTCTAATTTCAGAAACAAAAATCAAAGAAGAGTCATTGATCCATTCAACCACCTGCTATAAATCCGTTATCGACGGACTCTAACACGGTCAGCAAAGCGGGCCAAACAACACTCATCATTCGTTCAAGTCACGTAAGACCCCTTTTTACGCAAATTTTATATACCTAGACTTCGACAAGGCCCATAACATGATTCCAAATCTCGATATTTTCAGGACCATCCATCGGCAACAATATCGACGAATGTCGATTCTTTACTTCAATCATCAACGCCTATTCTTGAGGTACAACTCTTAAATTTTATATGTATATTTTTATTCAACTTTTTTCACACATTTCCTTTTCT